TCTCTCAAGATTCTCCAATTCCCTTTGAAGGCGCTCCAGTTCTCTCCACTTAATGGTGATGTCTTCATTCGGATTGGTTTGGGTTTGGAGCAAACCATCAAGCCTTTCGCGTGCCTATTTGAGGTCTTCATCGGTTTTGGATATTGAGGCCTCAATGGCGGTGGGATCATATGCAGGCGGAGGGTGAGATGGCCTCGGCGATGGGTTCCGAATCAGAGGAAGGTCGGCTTGTAGCTTCATGATTTGTTTCATGAAATGGTGAAGAACTGAAGTGGCACCCAAGCCAGAAGAGTGTTGAACTAACAAATCAATCACAACTTGAGCTAAAGCTTAGAGAACTTCGCTGCTCAAGTCAGAGAAAGGCAGTGAAACGCAGTCGGTCACCATTGGTCAGGCATCATTAGAGAGAAGAATCTTGGATAGAGGCGTGAGATCAACTTGGCCTTGTCAAACAAGAATGATAAGTAAAATTGATCAGATGTAGTAGTCCAGGAATTAAAGACAAGAAGGGTTACCTTGCCCAGATCGGTTGTTTGACTGGACTGTACAAAGAGTTGAGGCCCACGTGGGGGAGCGCTGTAGAGCACCGAAATGCCGGCTTTCGACTTTTCACCGGCTAACGGATGGCTGGGTTGGAAAATTTTTGTTCTGAGCCCTGTGGTGGAGAATGGATGATAAATAAATTAAGGAATTATCGCTTTTGGAATTTCTTGACTGACTTACCACTTATTCCCAGGCTTGATCCTGGCCGACTAAATCCTAATTGATGGAAGGCTCCCCTAAGTAGGATGAAGATATATCATTTGAGATTGAGAACTTGCCATGAGGTTCTTTGCAATGACTCAACCAGATCGGAATTGTATAAAATTTTTGTTAGACGTAGGATCAACAATTTTGTCTTTCTCCCACTGTGGTTGCCAATTTGTTGATGGTAAAATTTCAACAATAAAAAATAAAATTTTAAAATATATTTCGAACTTGAATGAAGAATGTCTGAGATCACGGATTCTAGACAGATAGTACATAATATTGCTAAAAAAAAGAAAAAAGGAAAGCTGAAAAGGATGACTGAAAAGGATGACTGAAAAACTAAAATGATGATCCTCGATGAGAATTTCTCTAAAATTGATGTCAATTGAAGATGTCCACTCTCTCTCGTTGAGGCTGTTAATATACGTATCAAACTAAATCGTCGAGAACCGTCTCCATGTCGGTACCAATATGAACTGTCCAAAAACCGTTCCCATGTCGGTTATCAATCTAAACTGTCAAAAAACCGCTTCTGCGTTGGTTACCAATCTAAACCATCCGAAATTGTTTTCTTGTCGGTTACCGATCTAAACCGTCCGAAACCACTTTCTCGTCGATTACCGATCTGAACCGTCCAAAAATTGTTTCCTCGTCAGTTCTGAATCTGAACCGTCTCAAAGCCCAAACTCGGATGAAAATTGTTTGTAGGGCCAACCGTTGATTGGCCTGGCCCCAACACCCATCCGATCGAATGTATCTGGCCCACCACTAGATCGCCACCGGCCCCATCTATTCATCCTCCCTGAATTCAAATCCAAATCTTATTTTTTGTTCTCAATAATAATATATTCAATATTTATACTTTTATGATGTATTGATTTGAGATTAGCTGTATAACTGCCCCTAATCAACATATATACAAATAATCTAAAACTACTTATTAGTAGTACCAAGTATTTATATATGTAAAAACTACTTAATAGGACCGATAATCCTACTAATCTTTTCCAATGAAGATTAGCCATAATTAATGTAAGTGGCAATCCAAAGTTTGAGGCACGCCGATAAACTTTTTATCATTCATTTTCGTCTAGGAATGACAATGGGTCAGGTATGGGTCGAGTCAAGCTGGATTCGAGACCAGATCTATGTATATATATTATTGAACCCGAGACCTGAATTGGATCCGATTATATTCGAACTCAATTATACTCGGACCCGACTTGAACAATACCGAAAAAGATCCGATGGACCCGACAGACTCAAATTTTTTTTTTACAATTCTTAAAATTTAGTTTGAAATTGGATCCGAACACAGACCCGGACTCGACACATATTAAAATTTATATATTTTATTCAAAATATTATAATAAAATAAAAAATAATAAATAAATTAAACTAAAAATATATTTTTAATATAATTTATATGATTAAAGTCTTTTATTTTCATATATTAGTAATATATTAATGTGATCCGGGTCGAATTCGAGTCCAGGTAGAGTCCACCATTAGATCCGAGACCCAACTCGGATCTGAATCTGATACCGAAATAATTAGACCCGACCCCAAATAAATATATTGGATCCGGGTGGAGTCTCGGGTCTACCCGAGCACAATGCCATCCTTACTTTCTGTTAAAAAAATAAATAAAAGCAAACAACAACAAATTAAACTTACACATTAATTCTTCATATACATATACATAGATACATTATACATACATCCACGTACTATGTTGTTTTTATCACATGCTTACAGTTACGAAAGAGTTTCAACTGAGTCGTCGTATAGCTATAGTTGTCGACCATTGGATAGTCCCCTTAGTTCCAATACAAAGTTAACTTTAACTTGCTCCCATTACACACACAGTTTTTAGATTTTGAAAAAATTTAGAAAATAATAAAATGTTAGTAATTAATATTATATTTTCAGATAATAGAAATTTAATAAGATGTTTTAGATTTGAATCCCTTTTCTGGTTTCAAAATAATAAAATATTGAATAAAAAATTAAATATTTAATACAATATAAACATTAAATTTTATATTTTGAATAAAAAATATAATTTTATATATTGTCTGCCAGTTAAATATTGGCTCACCTTTTATTAAATTATATTAGTCAATTTAAATTTGCACAGTAAATAACAAGTATTTTTCTAGAGAATGTGTGTTTTTGCTTGTGGATTTTGATTTTAATATTAAATTTTTGTATAAAAAAATTTAAATTTAAATAATTATTTAATAAGATATAAAATAAATATTGATATAATATTTTAAATATAAAAATAATATAAAAAATAAACAATAGTTACTTGATTTTATACCCAAAAAAGAATAAATAAATAAATAATAAAAATATTGTAACAAATAGCTATGAAAATTTACCTTTACTCTAAACACACAATAAGGACCGTGTTATTGTTATTATATCACACGTATACAATTACCTTAACATTTCCCAATGAGTTTTTTACAAAACAATTTTGAAAATATTTTTAAAGAGTTTTGATACTTGTGGTATGGTTGATTATGATTTGAAATATAAATACTACTAGTATTTTTTTACTTTGTATTATTTTTAATAGAAATATACTTTTTTTTGTTTCAAATTAAATGGACTATTTGAGTTTTATAATAGATTAAAAAATAATAATATTTTATTAGCTAGTTTAAATATATAAAAAAATTTGATCTTTTGTCATTTGACTTTATGAATAAAGTACTATATACATATTATTATATTTGTAATTTAAGTTAAAGTTAAATGTATTTTTATATTAATTATAATTATTTTTTCAAAAATAGGAAAGAGATATTTTGTAGCGGTACACACGTAAATGGTAAAGAAATACTTTGAATTGAGACGAACGAAGTAGTTTTTTTCTTATTAACTGAAAGTATTCCTATTACTGTTTTTGTTTGTCTCACTAAAAAAATATATACTCATTATGTCCCGCATTTTAAAGTATACTTTTATTTTTTTGGGCAGAATTTAAATAATATTAGTATTTTAATTATAGTAGATAATTAAAAGTAACGATACGATGGTAAAAACAATCTTACTCTTGCTTTTTGGTATAAAAGTAATGATACATGGTAAAGTAACAGTATTTGTAGAAAAAAAAAAAGTAGGATTCATAGTTACTAAAAGTAAAATACACATTAACACGGGATAAACGAAAATAAAAAGATGTATACACTAATGCAAGACAGAGAGAGTATTTTCTATTTTAATAAAAATAATCATATAGTAATTCAAAATACTATTAGTTTTTACATGAATTACAAACATACTGTTACATATATATATATAAAGTACTGATGACAAAAATATCAAAACTATCTTATACACTACTCTCATCGTCGCTGAACAAAATATCATTTTTTTCCATTTTAGTTCGATGTATAATAGAATTCATTTATTTTTTTAGTAACTGTACTACATAAATAACATTAAAAATATTTTTACAACTTAAAATATATTAAACAAATATACTTATCGTTATACCATACAATACTAATAATGTTATTTTTATCACTTTATCTTAATTTGTATTACACTGTCACTATTATACTAATATTAAAAATTCTACCAACAAGAAAATACTTATTTAGAGGATTCTATTATTTCTTAATTTATTATAAAAATTTAAATTTATATTCTTATCCGGGACAATAGAAGTACTACCTTCGTCCACCGCCAATATATCCATTTGTATTTGGCGTAATTGTTTTTAACATTAAAAATATCCTTATATTTGTATAATTTTCATTACATTATATTACATCAATAGAAGCATTTTTGTCGTTTTTCCGTTATTTGTACTACGTTTTGATATAATAAGTAATATTCAAATATTAAAATACAAAAAATAAATAGATAAATTGGCGGTGAACGAAGGTAGTACTTATTTTTTTTTTTTATATCTACATATATAAAATATCAAATAAAATATTATTTGAACAAAAATACAAATGAAAAACTCAAATTCAAAGGAAAACAAAATAAACTGTGTAACAGAGGATTGGTTAATTAATACTGCATCATGCATGGGGAGCGATGACGAAGCTGGCAAGCTGCAGGGGTATTTCGGAAAATCCAATGAAGACCAAGGGCCTTTCTGAAGATGCATACACTATATAATCAAGCCTTCTCTTTCCCGATCATTTGCCAACGACCTGCCCTTCATCTTCCTTAAATTCATAACCGTAAAGATAATTTTATAAAAACTATAAAAAAAAAAAAGAAAGAAAGAAAGAAAAAGAATCCCCGGTAAACAATATGAACCCAGAAGTTGACGATCCAACGGTCCTCATTTCAGGATGTAATACTGATTCAGTTTGCATTCTTTTCCAAGAATATATATATATATATATTTGTTCATGTATGACGTATATGTGGTGGTGATCGAGTAGGTGTAGGTGGCGCATCATCAAAACGACGTCGTAGGGTTCGGCGGAAGGGCAAGAGCGGAGAAACCGGGGAGAGGAACAGGAAGAGGAAGCTGAGCTGGCAGCAGATAAGCATGCTGGAGGAGAGCTTCCGGAGCGACCAGAAGCTGGAGACCCGGCGTAAGGACCTCCTGGCAGCTGAGCTGGGCCTGGACCCCCGCCAGGTGGCCGTCTGGTTCCAGAACCGTCGGGCGCGCTGGAGGACCTCTAAAATGGCACAGGACTACTCCCATCTCCGCTCCGAGCACCACCACCTCCTCCTTCACAATCGCATTCTCGACGCTCAGGTACATATAGGGTGTGTTCAGTGACGGAACCAGTAATAAAAGTTTGAAGAGCAAAAAATCGATTTTTTTTATTGATTCAATATATATTTTTTTTAAAGCATAGCACCCGGACAAAAAAAAAAAAAATTTAAAATAATTCAACAAAACTACATAAAATTCAATATTTTTTATTATAAAAAAAATAATATAATACAACTGAGTTGCATACCACACACTGCAGCTATCTTTGACGCCTCCAGGTCACTTGTTACATAAGGTTCGCCTAGTGTGACTTGTCTTGTTGGACCTAGTTTGCAGGGTATTAGGTTCGACCGAAAGTAGGGGGTGAAGGGTGTTTGCCCCTCCTAATTATTTGAGTTTTGTATTTTATTATATAGTATCTGTATAATTTTTAAAATTTAAATAATTAACTACCCCTGTAAATTTAATATAAATATTATTATTATTATTTATTTTTAACTCAAATACATAAAAAAAAATTGGTTCAAATACTTCAAATATTTAAAAATATTTGAAAAAATTCAGATAAAACAAACTAAAAATTTATTTGTAATTTTTTAAAAATTTTCATTATATTATATAATTTTAAAATTATTATATACTATTTATATTAAAAAAATTTCGGCCCTCGCCAAAAAATATTTCTAGCTTCGCCGCTGACCGGAAGTTTACCCGGTATGTACTTTGCCAAAAAAAGTTTCTAACTCCGCCACTAACCCGAAGTTTACCTAGTGCGTACGTTCGCCAAAAAAAATTTCTAGCTCCGCCACTGACCTAAAATTTACTTAGTGCGTACTTTTGAATAGCGATTGCGAATTTCTACATCATAATTAATAATAATAATAATAAAAACAACAAAAATGTTAACTTTGCAGGTGACTGAGCTGAAGGAACAAGTGCAGAAAGGTGAGAAAGAAATAAAGAGGCTTTCGGATCATGGGTTGACTAGCAATAGTCAAATTAGTTCATCATCGATCTTGCCAATGGACATTAATAATAATAATAATAATAATAATAATAATAATAATATTGATGCCTTCCATCCAGATCTTGCCAGTCCAGCTCTCCTTGGAGATCATAAAGAGGAGTGGCTCTTTGAAAATGAGTTTTACCTGCTGACTTGTGACCACGACCACATCGATTTCGAATTCAATTTTAACGACTGGGCTAGTCTCCCTCTTATGTAATTAGTTAGCTGCTTAACTTTCTTTCTTCATGTGCATGCGTGTACAGCTTATAATTAATGTAAATTAAAACCCTACTTTTATTCCACTTTTTTTTATTACTACAGCGAGTACTTTCCCGTACATCTTGAAAATTTTGAAATAATAATAATAATAATAATAATAATAGTCCCTCCGTCCCACTTGCTATGTCCACACTGCCGTTTCTGTCCGTCTCACATTCCATGTCATTTTTCTTTTTTGAATATGATTATACACTTTAATTTTATTTTATATTTTTTTTAATAATTAGTTATTTTAATCTTAATCTATAATTATTTATATTATAAAATAAGTATTTTAATTAATACATTCTTAATTATCTACTAATTATATTTATCATAAATTCTCGTATCTACATTGACTCAAACATCCATCCAACATCCAACGTGGGACTGAGGGAGTAATAAATAACATCAAACCTGACCATGAGACATGTTACATCATTTGAACAGCTCAGACTGGATCGACCTTAATTAATTAAGACTGCATGCCAACAATTGTGTATAGCCTCCTACTCTAATACTGGGAAGCAATTTAACTATAACTTTAGTAATGTTACCATATTTATTTATTTTTTTAATATTATTGTTGTGTACGGAAATTGGGATATTATTAATCTCACAACGGTTTGATAAAACCGATCGGAGAATCATCGAGAGTTCCTTGTGGCACTTCAGAAAGTCCTTGGTGCTATTTTGTGTTTCTAAAAATAAGACGCAGCGAAAAATCCGCCGATGACAATAAAAGAAAAAGAACTTTAAAAATATAATTGTATTAAAACTGGAAAGAAAAGGCTCGGTAATTAAATACACTTGGAATTGGAAGAAAATTGAAAGAAAAGTTTTTAGACTTGCAGAAAAGAAAATTACAAAAAATGTAAAGTACGAAAAAGTAAAGAAAAAAAAAATATAAAGATAAAGTTGGAAATGTTTTGTTGATCAGGAACCCCTTCTTCATTTTATACCTTTCCCAAGCATTACAAATCGACTTCTATCGATACTCATTATTCGACATTTATTCAAGGATTATGGCTTTATATAAATCCATGTAACTTCTTCAGTCTAGTCTTTGATGACCCATCATTTAAAGAATATAATATATAGACACCCAATCCTCTCATGGGACCAATAACGGCCGAAAAAAAGTCCCAAACATAATTAAATATATCATTATTTTACTTTTTTAATTGAAAGTTTCGTAACCCCCAACTCTTTAATTGCTTCCTCAAACCTCATTTAAATCCCAATTGATTCCGACCATGGGCTGCTACTTTCTTTCCTGTATGGGCTTCCTTGGATTTGGGCTTTTCCACTAAAACTATTTTGTGGCCCAACATATAGCTCCTTTAAAAAAAATAGGATAGAAATTGAATCTTAATTTCATCCCCTTTTTGGATGTGATGCTACACTGCTTGCTGCTGCTCTGTTCAAGGTAAAGAAAAATATCACTTGAATTCCAACCTCTTCACTTCCCCACGTTCTCAATCATAATTTTCCTACTCTCTCAAAAAGCTGCCGACTCTAGGGCTTTTGAAAAGTCATCTTGCCGTGTATCTCTTTCTCTCTTAACTCTTTCTTTAACTCCCTCAATCTCCCATGGCTTCCAAAAAGTCACCACCATTCGGGGGAAACCTCACCGACTAGCAGTTCCGCTCTTCGTGCAGCTATTTTTCTGAAATTGAGTTGTAGTCATCCGCCGATTCCAGTAATCGGAGGTCCCCATCCCCTCTACAGCTCCATCCCACCGGTGGCCAAGGACTCCTACCCCTAGCAAAGATAATGCCAACGCTGCAGCCTAGCAGAACATTCTCCTCGAGGAAGACAACCTTCCGATTTCTCTACCATGGCTGAAAATTGATGTTTTTTCTTTCAAGTTTATCCATATTTCTAGTAATTCTACAAGTTTTAGCACCTCGGTAGATAGACTGAATCTAACTTTGGCCGTACATGAAAAATTTAGGGATTTTATGTGCTCATCAACACCCCTTGTGATAGTAAACTTATTAGGGTTCTTCTCTGTTTTTAGGACTCAAGGTTGAACGTTTTTATTTGTTCATTTGGTATCTTGAGTTCCACAATCTTGGATGTCGTTGTTATCTTGGGGCCTCTGAAATATCCGCTCCTCTTGATTTCCATAAATCATATAATACCAAGACCACCTCGAACCAATTTATGACCCAACACCCTTTAACTGGTGATGTTGTACCTTGGAAAACAATGCCTTGCTATTTTTTCTAGTTTAGTAAATATCTGTCTGTTTTACTGATCCGCAGAATAGACCTGGTCATCATGTCCCTCATCTTCCCTAAGAAATCTGCTTCTTTTCGGTCGATTGCCTATGGGCAATGTCCATTCCATATTCCAGTCTCTTCTGCATGCCTCCCAAAGTCCGAATGAATTTTCTGCCCCTTGTCTTATAACATGCGGAGTTCCTCCTGGTTTTTTCAGTTGAGTGATGACAACCCTGTCCAAAGCCCTGGTTCCAATTTCTACTGGAACAAATGTTTCACGGCTGGACCACTGATCACCCGTTGCTCCCTCACTCCTCGTTATAACCCTTTTGCACCGAGCCATACCAGCCTTAATTATTGGCCCGAAAATTTGGCCTTACTCAGAATATTCCTTCTGCTAGCTTTCATTCAATGATTTACTGAAATTTGCTCAGGAATTTCCTCTTATGATATGCCCTAATGCCATCTCCAACTCTACGCTCTATTTTTGCAGTAAAAATGCAGTGATCTACAGTAATTTTACTCCAGACATAAACTTATAAAAATGCAATTGATATACAGTAATTTTATTCCAATTATAAACTTCAATTTTTACTCTAAAAAGTATGTTCCCTATATATTCCTCCCTCCTCCTATTTTTTGCAGTGGGTTGGAGAAGCTCCAATGGCCATCTTAGGCCATCTACATTGGTGGGTCGTTGGATAAAAAAAAAAAATAAATTAAAAATCACTTTTTTATGCGCCAGCGTGGAGAGCTGGTTGTTTCTGCAGCAACTCCACGAAACTCTGACCAATTATCATTATTGTCATGTGTTCTAATTTAAAAAATATTTTTTTAGTTATTTTTTATACATTATATTTTTATTTTATATATATATTTATTAATAATTTTTATATTTTTATATTTTATAAAATTTTATTTTTTACAAAATGAAACCAATATTGATATATTTTTGTTAAATAAAATTTTAATTAAATATAACTAATTAATAATAATAACAATTTACTTTTCTAATTATTTTATATTTATCATTATAGTATCAAATTAATAGTATTTATTTATTTTTATTTAAAGACACATAAATACAAAAAAGTTGTACCATAAAATTGAATTTTCACATCACATTAATTTTATTGTACTAGTTTTTTACACAATTTTAATATTTATCATTGTAGTATCAAATCAATAGAGGCGATGGCATGGTATGATCTCTGGATTTGGCATCCATTCTTTGGTACACCAGTACATGCAATGATATTAATATGCTTGATCGATCTCCAATATTTAACGATGTTTTGAATGACAGAGCTTCGAAAATAAATTTTATTGTCAATGGTCACCAATATAATATGGGATACTATCTTACGGATGGTATTTATCCTCCATTGGCAACTTTTATCCAATCAATTCGTCTTCCACAAGGTTCTAAGGCAAAATTGTTTACACAACATCAAGAAGCGGCTCGAAAAGATGTGGAACGTGCTTTTGGTGTATTACAAGCTCGATTTGCTATTATTCGTAATCCATCGGTTATTTGGGATATTAATTTAATCGGTAAGATCATAAGAGCATGTATCATTTTACATAATATGATCGTGGAAGATGAAAGGGATACATACATGCTTTATCATTATATATCTCAATTTGAGCAAGAAGAAATAGATTGGTCATGTTCAAGGGACAGACATGCTGGTACGACAGAGTATTTATAAAATCGAATCAAGCTTCGAGATCGTGGAACATATCATCAACTGAAATTAGATTTAGTTGAACACATGTGGCAGAAGTTTGGTTCTGCAAATAATTAAATTGTTCGATGTTATTTTAATTTAAATAATTGTATTGTTTTATTTGCAATTATTTTTCTTCTTCTTTGATATATAGATTATTATATTAAATACGGTTTTTTATATTAAATTTTACTAAATATAAATAATTATAATTAAATAATAATATTAATATTGATCACAACAATAAGAAAATAATAATAATAATAAATATTTGTTATTATTTATAAATTAAATTATTAAATAAATAAATACTAATAAATATATATATTAGATAAAAATTATTATTATTTAAATTATTTTAAAAATAGATAATTTAATAATATGGAAGAAAGAGAAATTAAAATTTGTGTAAATGAGTTTCTTTGATGAAGGTATAAAATGAAATGAGTTTCTCAGATGATCGACGTGGCATAGAGAGAATATGACGTGGAACAGAAGATAGAGACGGAAAAAACCCATGTTGGGTTTTTATATGTTGGAAATGAAAGCCCTCTTATATTTTTTCCGCCAACTTCAGCTAATAGTCACCCAATCTTTTAAAGACTACTGGACGGATATTAGCAACCGTTTATTGCCAAAGAACACATTCGTCTATCTGGACGAGCGTTTGGGCGATGAAACTGCCTTGGTCTTCGACGCTAAAGATGTGGTATAACTGGTTCCATTATGCTCCAAGTAACCTTCACTTTGATCACAATGAATTTTTATTGGTATACATGAATTAATTCCTTTT